TTGTAGAGATGAGGTCTCGCGCCCAGGCGGGTCTCAAACCTGCAGACTCAGGCAATCCACTCACCTCAGCCTCCCAAAGGCGCGGGATTACAGGTTGAGCCACCGAGCCCGGCATACTGTTTCCTTTTACCTAGAGATCCCTGTCCACCCCTACATCAGCTCCAGAGACCCTAAGAATAACAAACCTAGAAATTCTGAGTCCAGCACAGGGACCTCCTTAGAACAGCTCCTAAGACACTTGGGAAACAGCAGGGCCTGCAGGCCATCGCTAGGGCTTTAGAGAACACGCCTGGGTCCCCACTTATGTCTCTTCTCCTTTTCTCCATGCAGGGTGCAAGCCTGAGCAACAGATGATGTATGCAGGAAGCAAAAACAGGCTGGTGCAGACGGCAGAGCTCACGAAGGTCCAAGCTCTGGCAGGCTCCAGAGTGTCAGGGAGAAGGGAGCTGGGGGTCCGGGTCTGAGGGAGGAGGGGCCTGGGGGCTAGGGTCTGAGGAAGGAGTGTTCTGGGCACCTGGGTCTGAGGGGCCTGGACTCCCACATCTGAAGGAAGACAGGGCCAGAGTCCACGCTGTCTCAGATCCTGAGTAGATCGTCACGCTGAAACCTCTCTCTGTCCAGGTGTTTGAAATCCGCACCACTGACGACCTCACCGAGGCCTGGCTCCAGGAAAAGTTGTCTTTCTTTCGTTGACCTCTGGGCAAGGAGCCTGAATTCCTGAAGTCTGAGTCCCCAAGGACTCGGACCCCCTAGGACCTGAACACCCAGGACCCTACAGAAATTAAAAATCGAAGAACTCCAAAGACACTCAGTATTGGCTCCGTTTCTGCCCCTCACGTGGGCGCCAGCCGACGGTCCCTGCAGTACCAGCTGCGGGCCGGCAGGGGGCGGGCAGAGCTAGTGGAATGCGAGCCGGGTTCCTGAAGGCAAGGATACCTGTTTCTCCGAAAGGAAGGGAGGAGCCTGTGGGGGGGTGGGTGGACGGGGAGGCCTGGGCCTGGAACTGGGGGAGTATCTTAATCTATGAAGGAGTCACTCCCAAGGGGGAACAAAACACCCGAGGGTAAAAGAAGCAGAGTGCCTGTGTCCATGGCTCTCTCTTCCCCTCCCCAGCTCTGGGGGCTAGGTGGCCTCAGCCGGCACCGAATGCAACTCTTCTCAGCTGAGACCCCAGGTGGGAAGAATGCACAGGCCAAAAAGGACCAAGCATAACTGCTTCAGGGGCTCAGGAGCGGCTGGGGGTGGAGGTTTATGGGGTTGGACCCGGGGCTGGGGAAGGTGAAGAGGATCCAGGACCCTCAGTGGTTCCCCAGGGGTATGAGGTTGAGGACGTCGGAAGAGACTCCTGCCCCCATCTAGAGATTCTTTCTTCATTTCTTCTGGCATCTCTGGACATTGACTCTCTCAGGCTGTGTCTCTTGTCTCAGAGGGACATTTATTGAGCTCCCCCAGTGTACCAAGCTCTGAGAATTCCGAGACAGGCAGGTCTTCCCAGAGCCGAATCACACGCTTTCTGGCTCTCTCTGCTTCTCCTCCAGGCCTCTGATTGTTCCTCTTTCTGTCCCAGGATGCAGGGACCTGGGAACTCCCTCCCCCCACCCCTTTCCAGGTAGGTTTCCCAGTAGAAAGGTGGCTGTTGCCATGGTGACAATGACACAGTGACCTTGGGCCTGGGCTGCCCCTCCCCCAACCCGGTGTTCGCTCGGGGTGGGTCCAAAAGCCCAATTCCAACTCTTTCCACTTTCTCTCAGCCGTGAAACACCACCCGCTGACCGTCCCGCTCTGCCCCAGCCCTTGCCCCCATGTTTCCAGTCGGGACAAGCACTTTGCATGAGGGATTCAGGATAGAATCACTCTGCACTGGGCCTTACTTTTCTGGGGACTCGGTTGAGCTTCTGTCCTCTCTGCTAGCGCCTTCTTTCCCTGCGCCATCTCTATCCTCCTCTCTGATCACAGGCCCAGTCCCTGAAGTCAAGAGATGAAAGAGAAGGCGGGCTGGAGCTAAGAGGGGTCATTTAATTAAATGGACAAGGAACTCCTGGCCTGCAGAGACCAGAGAGGCAAAGGGACTGGTCCAAGGTCACACACTTACTTGATCAAATTGCAATGCTCCTAGATGCCAGGTACTTCCTTCTATAAGCCTTTTATAGGTATTAACTTACTTAATACTTATAAAACTCCCATGAAGAAGGTGCCATTATTGATTTATCTTTTTGAGTTGGAGCCTCACTCTGTTGCCCAGGCTGGAGTGCAGTGGCATGCTCACGACCACTGCAGCCTCGACCTGCTGGGCTCAGGCGCTCCTTCCGCCTCAGCCTTCCAAGTAGCTAGAACTACAGACATGCACCACCACGCCTAGCTAATTTATTTTTTATTGTAGAGACAAGGTCTCGCCAAGTTGCCCAGACTGGTCTTGAACCCTTGGACCCAGGCAATCCTCTTGCCTCCACCTCCCAAAGTGCTAGTATTATGGGTGTGAGCCACCACACCTGGCTGAAGAAGGTGCCATTATTAGCACCAATTTAAAGGTGAAGAAAGTGAGGCACAGAAGTCAAAAATAAATGCTCGAAGCCACAGAACTAGTGGTCTGCACAGTTAGAACTCTAACCCCAGGCTATCTTGAGGTCAGTGGTCACTCTTTCTCTTAAGCAAGAGACTTAGGGAACCATCTCTTCCTTTCCCTCCTTCCTCTTCTCCCCTCACTATCCCTAGTTCTCCTCTGTGGGACTGCCACCCATCCATAGAGGAACTTTGGATCCAGGCTCATGATTGCAAACAATTCTAGAGAACCAGGCAGGTACCAGAACTTACCCAATCAGGAGCAAAGAATTTGGAAAGAAGGGGCCAAATCGTGGAAGGTGACTCAGAGGGGCAGTTCAATGCAGAGTAAGTATGACTAGGGATTGTGGAACGACCAGTCAGAGAGGTCAGAACAAAGTACACCATCCAATGAAGAGTCAGCAGTATAAACTGGAGACGCCTCCTCTAGTTCTACCAATCTATCCTTTGAATTCCCACAGATCCAGACACCCTAATCTTTAAGTCTGAGCCCTAGACTTGAAGGACTTCTTCCAAACCTCGAATGTGAGCAGGGCTTATTGTTGGAGAGGCAGAGATTGGACTTTGGGGTAGAGCTGAGTGTGGAGGACCCAGTCTAGGCATCAGGAACCAGAAGTTAGGACGCTGTCCCAGTGGAGGAAGGTGGAGGGGCGGGGCTTGGGCTGAAGGGGCGAGGCTGAGGTGTGTGGGAGGGGCCTAGACTGAGGAGGTCTGAATATAATATACTTTGGGGTGGTCTCTAAGATAGAAGGATGGGGCTCTGGCAGGAGGGGGGAGTTTTTGCTTTGGGGCGGAGGTCAAGGCTTGGGGCTGGGACGGAGACTGTGGAAGAATGGGATTGGTCTAGGTCTGTAGGAGAAGGTTTGGTAGAGGAATTAGGGTCCCAGGGAAACAATTGCACTACTTCAACCTGTTGCCCTTTTTTTCAGGCCAACTCACACTTGTTCCCTGACCTTATGGGACATTCTCCAGCGGCTAGGGTATACCCCTCTCTTCTAGTGATCCTGGGCTAGGAGGTCGTGTTTGTTCCATCCTGTGGTCCCTGAAGTGAATCTGGAGCACGCTTAGCTCCCCAGCTCTCTCCTAAGATGCATTCAGGAACACGTTTAACTGAATTCCTGGGTGCTAATCACTATTCTGGGCACCGGAAAAAACTGGTGCCTGTGCCACTCCCCTCAGGAGGCTTGCATTTCAATAACTGGACAGTAAATAAATAAATAAATAAATCAGAAATAGGGAAACAAACAAGTAAAAAGTTAAGATCCTTACAGAATGTGGTAAATACTAAGAAGGAAATAAAATGAGACAGAGCGCGGTGCCTCACGCCTGTAATCCTGGCATTCTGGGAGCCTAAAATGGGAGGATGGCTTGATATTGGGAGTTCAAGACCAGCGTGGGCAACTTAATGAGACGCCCCCTCCCCAGTCTCTACAAAAATAAAAATAAAATAAAATGAGGTGATGTTCTAGACAGAAATGGTGGACTATCTAGAAGAGTCTTGCTTCCCCTCACCCCCAATATTTTCTATGAAAAATTTCAAACATGCAGCAAAGTTGAAATAATTTTATTTATTTATTTATTTATTTATTTGAGTTGGAGTCTCACTTTGTCGCCCAGACTGGA